GTTTGATCTATTGCCTAAATACTTTGAATGCACGCTTATAAAAAGTTGCTAATCTATACAAGAAAGCTTGATATTTACAGCATAGCGCATTATATTTAGAAATATCAATTCTCTTATCTTTCTTAATTTATATTCTACAATATAGGATTACCAGCTTATCTAATACTCTTGCTTATTGATTAACAACATCGGATTATATATATTCTAGCAAGCTAAATCTTATTTACAAAGTAAGTATAAAAGCTAGTAAGTAATAGCAATATTCTAGCTTACTTTAAGATTATATAATATTGCATGTATAAGTACTCATCAGATTCTGTATAAGAACAGAGTTAAGGCGATTATCCAAACAGAAAGCACAAACTCGAGATTTTGAATAATATAAGCATTATCTTAAGATTAATAGCAAGAAAAATTATAATTACCAGCTTCTTATAACAGTTCAGAAAACAATAACTTATAGTCTGACTCCACTACGTTTGAATCATTAAAGAACATGAAATTCATAAGGAAAAGCACAGAAGTATATCTTGTAAGTAAAGTTGGGCAGCTAGATACAAGAATGATAAAGTGCTGCATACAACCTGGGAGACGGTGTTGTGGTGGCCAGGGTGGTAGTCCGTGGGACGTGGAGTACAGTGGGTCAAGGGTCCTCATACATATAAAGGATACCACCCACTTTTCAAATTCTTTAGCTATAAACAAAAAAAAAGCATCCTTTCTCTTCTTTTCAATTTTGAACCCTTTGGACAGGTCTAAGACAGGTTTTTCACCCTGTTCTTGTGCCCGTGTGGCCTTAGTTTGCTGTCCTCATCTGTACAGGCACGCTTGGGTTGCACGAGCCCTTGCCCATTGCTTCGGCAGCTGTTTGTCCCTTTTTCTTTCGAGGGCGACGGCGCCCTAGTTCTGGTTCAACGGAAATCTATGCCAGTGTTCATCCAAGATACAAAATCCAGAGCAAAATATAAGTTTACACAAGTCTACAGCTGCATCAGTTGACTACTACTCCGCTCATGATATCGCTATCCTTCATAATCACTAATGCGCTATAATTAAGATAGCTATAATAACTAAGAATACGGAATTGAAGAGAAGCCTAGCATAGATTGAATGCTAGAAGACGAAGAGCAGATTGCTAACAATAGAGTAGTTTCGTTTAGAATGCAAAGCAGCTTTCTGAATCTTATTAACCACTGCTCTCTCATAGCTTAGCAGGCAGACTGAGAGCTTTACAGATGAGAATTACAGCTTTACAGATGAGAATTACAGCTTAATCAAAACCATGCAAGAGAGCTAGAAAATATCGTAATAACAGAAAGAGCCTTAGAAATCGAAGTTATTTACATGCTAGCATATTCAATTCTGAGCCCGAGATTGCGCATAGTTTACTAACTGAGAGCTCTGTTAGTGGTTCGTGCGTTGCATGAGAAGAATTAGGACTAACTCCCAATCTCATAGGTACTGAACCAGAACTAGGGCGCCGTCGCCCTCGAAAGAAAAAGGGACAAACAGCTGCCGAAGCAATGGGCAAGGGCTCGAGCAACCCAAGCGTGCCTGTACAGATGAGAACAGCAAACTAAGGCCACACAGGCGCAAGAACAGGGTGAAAAACCTGTCTTAGACCTGTTCAAAGGGTTCAAAAATTGAAAAGAAGAGAAAGGATGCTTGATTGTTTTCTATAGCTAAAGAATTTGAAAAGTGGGTGGTATTCTTTATATGTATGAGAACCCTTGACTCACTGTACTCCATGTCCCACGGACTACCACCCTGGCCACTACAACAACAGTACATCAGCACATGGATATCAGAGAGTTAGAGCAATCTACGAATGCATTAGAAGATACTGAAATCTACTAAGTCTTAGGAAAAGAATTGAAAACATTCTACAGCAATGCAATAGCTGCAAGAAGAATAAAGCAGAAAAATACAAGCCTTACGAACTACTACATTCCTTACCAGTACCTACAACTATTTAGCAATTCATCAGTCTAAACTTTATTATTAAGCTATCTCTCTTACAAGAACTCTTAACTAAAGTGCAATACAATAATATTCTAGTAGTAGTTTGCAAACTAAGCAAGTATGCTTACTTTCTTTCCTATAAGGAAAGCAGTATAGTAGAAGAACTCGCATATATATTCCTCAGAATAATCATTACTAACTATAGTATGCTAGAAGAAGTAATTTCCAATAGAAATAGAAAGTTCAACTTAAAGTTTTGAACTTTGCTTATAAAATAGCTCGAAGTATATTATAGAATGTTTATAGTATTTTATCTGCAAATAGATGAATAGATGGAAAGAATGAATTAGATTGTTGAATAGTATCTTCAATACTATATTAATCAGGAATAGAATAACTGAATTAATCTGTTATCTCTTGTACAGTTTGCTTATAATAGCGCAGATATAAGCATAATAAAGAAATTACTATTCTTCATACTCTACAGATATAACTCAACAGCTTATTATAAGGCATTGCTAGAAGTAGATATAGAAGCTGCAGATAAAAGAGTTAAGAAGATTAAGAAAGTTTAGAAAGAATTCCAGTTAGAATTACAATTCGTTCAGAAACGAATAATACAATATGCAAACTCCAAAAGAATTGAAAGATTAATTCTACAGAAGGGAAATAAAGTCTATTTACTTCGAAAAAATATTAAAACAACTAGATCTAGCAATAAATTTGATTATAAGAAGTTAGAATTATTCAAAATCTTGCAACAAATTTCCTCAGTTAACTACAAACTAGCCTTATCTCATAGAATAAGAATACATTCAATCTTTCACATCTTACTGCTGAAACTAGCAGCATAGGAAATACTAGCGAACAACATAGCAGAAGTAGAAAACAACGAACTAGAGTATAAGATGAAGAAGATTCTTAAGCACAGAGGCATAAACAGCATGAGAGAATATCTTATCAAATAAAAGAGTTACTCAGCAAGCGAAAATTCGTAGAAATTACAGAAAAATATCAAAAATGCTTAGAAAAAAATAGCTAAGTATTGAAAAAGAAAAGAAACTAGCATCTAGAATAATCGCTCTATTCCAAACCGAGATCCAAAAGCCTCAGAAATCTCACTCTCCAGGAAATCCGATCAATCTACCACTGAATTCCTCACATCTACGGAATTCCAGTCGAAACTCTCAAAAGAAGAATCCCCAGCAATAGCAGCAGACTCCTTTGCAACTATAGAACGAATCCCAGCAGCAATACGAGCTTATTCCTTCTCAGCCTCTTTATGCTCTAACTCCTTTACGCTGGAAAGGCTTCAACGAACAGCTTTTATCATCCTCTCAAACTACAGATATTTCTGCCTTCGCAAACATTCCATCTCTGCAGCAGCATTATGCAGCCGCCCTTCAGCACTCTCGAGTTAGTTCTCCAAACGTTGGTATTGAATGCCTATCCAGCGAATTTCTGCTGCGCTCAGCCCTTGAACATCGCACCGGGAGCAGCTCAGACGGATATATTTAGCGCAGCGGAAGGAATTCTCAACAGAGACTTAATAAAACTGAATATCACAGCTCTTGCAGAAGGAATAGAAAGGCATAGTAATAGCGTTTGTAAGGATTAAGAAAAGGAGAGAATTCTTTTGTTTAGTTTTCTTAGCACGAAAACGAGATTTGTTGATTCTGTTCGATATCTTGATTAGAAAAGCAAGATCATGCATATGAAAGATTTGCTAGAATACTTACAGAAGATCGTTGAGAATAACAACTAATAGGAGAAAGATGATATTATAACTTATCCAATATACAGATTACAAAACAGATTATAAGCAACAAGAATCAAATATTAAGAATTCAATATTCTAATAAAGTATTGATTATATAATTCAGAATTAGAATTATAAGCATAGCTAATTAGAAAGAATAGCTTTGAATATATGCTATTCAGAGTTAGCAGAATAACTTGAATATATTGCTATTCAATATATTCATACTGAAGAGCTAGATATATAACTATGTATTCATTACCATTAGATAGATCCAGTATATAGCTCTTCAGTTGTCAACCTAAGTATCAGATTACTTTTCTACTCTGATAGCTCCAAAGGCAGTGAATACTTGCATCGCTTATCAGAACTTGTACAGTTCCGTATTTAAGGACTTGATACTTTGACACCGCTCTTGTTAGCATAAACCCCTTGTGTACTTTGGAATCTTCGGATTGCTGCAGTGCTCATTACAAATGCAGTATGCAAACTTCAAAAGAATTAAGAAATCAATCCTATAGAAAGAGAATAAGGCTTATTTATTCCGAAAGAATATCAAAATAACTAGATTCAACAACAAACTCGATTACAAGAAATTAGAACTATTCAAAATCTTATAACAGATTTTCCTAATTAATTACAAGTTAGTACTATCTTATAGAATAAGAATATACTCAGTATTTCATATCTTATTGCTAGAATTAGTAATATAGAAAATACTAATAAATAATATAGCAGAAGTAGAAAATAATGAATTAGAATATGAGATTGAAAAAATTCTCAAGCATAGAAGCATAGATAATATGCAAGAATATCTTATTAAATGAAAAGATTATCCAGCAAGCAAGAATTCATAAGAATTATAGGAGAATGTTGAAAATGCTCAGGAAAAGGTAGCTAAGTATTGAAAAAAGAAAGAAATCAGCGCTTAGAATAATTGCTTCATCCCAAACCGAGATCTAGAAACTTCAGAAATCTCACTCTCTAAGAAACTAAACCAGTTCATTATGCTATTTCCCATATCCACAGAGTTCCAGTTAAACCTCTCAAAAGAAGAATCTCTAATAGCTACAGCTAACTCCTCAAGCATAGCTTCCTGCATAGAGATAGCAGCGCAACAATGTTCTTTCTTAGCTTTCTCAGCTTCAATGCAATCCAACTTCTCTATACGAATAATACTGCAATGCAGAGCACGTTTCATCTTCTCGAATCACATCTGCTTCTATTAATGCAGACGGAGAAGTTCGATCTCCTTCTTCTCAATCTCATCCTCCAACTTTCAATATTGGAAAGCAATATTGCAAAGCTTCTCAGAAGAAGAACTCATAACGTTGCACTTGGAACAATCCAGACGAATGCATTCGATGCAGCAAGAAGAATCTCCGGAAGATATCTTGCAAGATCCAAAGCTGTGCTTCTCACAATAGGAACAAACGGGTATCTTAACAAAATTTTTCAGAAGGCGAGAGATTAAGAGATTCCAGTCTTGGATACTTTTTGGAATAGAAGAGAGTTTTCGAATACGAGATTTGTTGATTCTGTTCAATATAACGAATTAGGAAGGCATGATTCTGTATAGAGATTGTTTACTAGAATACTCATGGAAGATTGTTGAGAATAACAACCAATAGAAGGGAGATAATATTATAACTCATTCAACATGCAGGTTGCGGGATGAACTTACCAAACAAGGAACCAGGTATCACAATCCAACGTCGGATAATTAACAGTGATTACATAACCCAGGATTAGGGTTACTAGCGCGATTATGTTAGCTATGAACATAGTTAACAGATTCAGGAAAACAACTATGAGAAATCGGAATATAATTAGGATAGTTAGAACTGAAGAGCTGAATATATAAAGATACATTCATTACTGTTAGATAGATTCAGTATATAGCTCTTCAGTCGTCAATCTAAGTATCAGATTACTCTCCTACTCTAATAGCTCCAAAGGCAGTGAATACTTGCACAGTTACCCCAGTTGTATTTCCGTATTCAAGGCTTATATTTGATATCGCTCTTATTAGCATAAATCCTTTGTATACTTTGAAATCTCCGGATTACTGCAGTGCTCATTACAGTAGGTCAAGAATCCTCATACATATAAAGAATACTACTCACTTTTCAAATTCTTTAGCTATAAGCAACAAGAAAGCATCCTTTTCTCTTCTTTTCAATTTTGAACCCTTTGAACAGATCTAAGACAGGCTTTTCATTCTGTTCTTGTGCCCGTGTGGCCTTAGTTTGCTGTTCTCATCTGTACAGGCACGCTTGGGTTGCACGAGCTCTTGCTCATTGCTTCGGCAGCTGTTTGTCTCTTTTTCTTTCGAGAGCGACAGCGCCCTAGTTCTGATTCAATACAAGTGCTGATTATTCGCTTTTGAAGCTATTCAAGTATATAACAAATGAATACTTAGATTAATAACTAAAGAGCTATATTCTAATAATCCATCTAATAATAATAAATATGTTGTTATATATTCAGCTCTTCAGTATTGTAATGAGCACTGCAGCAATCCGAAGATTCCAAAGTATACAAGGGGTTTATGCTAACAAGAGCAGTATCAAAGTATCAAGTTCTTAAATACGAAACCGTATAAGTCCTAATAAGCGATGCAAGTATTCACTGCCTTTGGGGCTATCAGAGTAAGAGAGTAATCTGATACTTAGATTAATAACTGAAGAGCTATATACTGAGTCTATCTAATGATAATGAATATATCTTTATATATTCAGCTCTTTAGTATGAATATGTTAAATAGCAATATATTCAAATTATTCTGCTAGCTCTGGATAGCATATATTCAAAGCTATTCTTTCTGATTAATCATGCTTATAATCCTAACTCTGGATTAGATAATCAATACTTTGTTAGAACATTGGATTCTTAATATCTAGTTCTTGTTGCTTGTAATCTATTTTGTAATCTGCATATTGAATAGATTTGTAATGAGCACTGCAGCAATCCGAAGATTCCTAAGTACACGAAGGGGTTTATGCTAACAAGAGCGGTGTCAAAGTATCAAGTCCTTGAATACGGAACTGTACAAGTCCTAATAAGCGATGCAAGTGTTCACTGCCTTTGGAGCTACTTAGTGTATGAAACTGAATACTTAGATTGATAACTGAAGAACTATCTGAAGGAAATCTATCTGGCAGTAAGAAATGTGAATCTTTATATATCTGGTTCTTCAGTTTCTTGCTTGCTGGTGATCATTCTAGATCACTATTGATCATTCCGGATTACTATTGATTACTGAGCGCTGGTGATTACTAGTGATTGTTCTATTGTTTGATTGGTTGGCTTGTAATCCTAATCCTGGGTTATGTAATCCTTGTGGATTGTTTGATGTTGAGTTATGATATCTGGTTCTTGTTTGCTTATAATCTGTTTTCGTAATCTGCATGTTGAATGAGTTATAATATCATCTTCCTTCTATTAGTTGTTGTTCTCAACGATTTCCTGTAAGTATTCAGCAAGTTCTCCGTATGCGTGGTTATGCTTTCCTAATTGAGATGTTGAATAGAATCTTAAATTCTTGTGTTAGCAAATCTTCTTCTAGTGCTTCCGTTACTTTCTCGAAGCTGTATCTTCGTTGTTTTGAGCGTTATTTGTATATTGAGTCCACTAGCTACGAAGTTATATTGTGCTTATTGTATTTAAAGGAGGGGATGCGATGCAAGATAGTGGATGGGGTTAAGAGCTGCTTTTAGTATATGAAACGAGATTATTCCTGTGATGCTGATCGAGTTTCTATGTTTTCTTGTAAGCCTTCTCTTTCCTCTTTCTTAGTTCTTGCTGATAATACTATCTTAGTATCTCGTATTACTGATGAGTTAGTTCGTTTGGATAGTAGGAAGGTAGAGGAGAAGAAGCGTTTGTTGGAGCGTTAGTGAGAGCTGGCGAATGCTCAGGCTCGTTTGTTCGAGTTCCTAGATTGTTTGTTTCGTTTGAAGAAGCAGCGATGCTTCCTTCAGGAGAAGAGGATAAAACTGGTGAATAAGGGCTTGAAGGAGGAGGAGCGCGAGCGCGTGGCGGCTGAGGTGCAGGCTGTGGTTTCCGCGAAGCCCGTAGTTGTTCCTGGGGATTCCTTTTCTAGAGATTTTGACTGGAATTCTGTAGATGTGAGGAATGCAGTGGTGGATTGGTCGGGCTTTCTGGAGAGTGAGATTCCTGAGGCTTCTGAGTTTCGGTTCGGGGCGGAGCGATCGTCTTAGGTACTGGTTTCCTTTCTTTTCCAATACTCAGCTACTCTTTCTTGAGCGTTTTTAACGTTTTTCTGTGATTCCCAAGAATTTTCGCTTGCTGAGTAATCTTTCCATTTGATGAGATATTCCCTTATATTGTTTATGCTTCTATGCTTGAGGATTTTTTCTATCTCATACTCTGATTCATTGTTTTCCACTTCTGCTATATTATCTATTAGTATTTCCTATGCTGCTGATTCCAGCAGTGAAATGTAGAAGACTGGGTATATTCTTATCCTATGAGATAATGCTAACTTGTAGTTGATTGGGGAGATTTGTTGCAAGATTTTGAAGGATTCCAACTTTTTGTAATCAAGTTTGTTGCTGGATCTGGTTATTTTGATGTTTTTCCAAAGTAGGTAAATCTTATCTTCTTCCTGTAGGATTAGTCTTTTAATCCTTTTAGAGTTTGCATATTGTACTATTCGTTTCTGAACAAATCATAGTTCTGATCGAAATTCCTTCTAAACTTTCTTAATCTTCTTAATTCTTTTGTTTATAGCTTTTGCATCTGCTTCTGGCAGTACTTTGTAGTAAGCTGTTGGATTATATTTATAGAGTATGAAGAATAGCGATTTCTTCGTTATGCTTGTATCTGCGCTATTATAAGTGAACTGTGCAAGGAGCAATAGATTAATCCAGTTATTCTGTTTCTGGTTGATATAGTATTGTAGATACTATTTAATAACTTGATTTATTCTTTCTGTTTATTCATTTGTTTATAAGTGAAATGCTGTAGATATTCTGTGGTATATTCCAAGCTATTTTATAAGCGAAGCTCAAAATTTCGAGTTGAACTTTCTATTTCTGTTAGAGATTACTTCTTCTGATATGCTATAATTAGCAATAATTGTTCTGAGAAATGTATATACAAGTTCCTCTGCTGTATTGCTTTCCTTATAAAGAAGAAAGTAAGCATACTTGCTCAGTCTGCAAATCACTATTAGAATATTATTATATTATATCTTAATTAAGAATTCTTATAAGAGAAGTAGCTTGATAATAAAGTTTAGATTAATGGATTGCTAAATAGTTATAAGTACTGGTAAGGAGTACAGTAGTTCATAAAGCTTATATCTTTCTGCTTTATTCTTTTTGCAGCTATTATATTGTTATAGAATGTTTTCAATTCTTTTTCTAAAGCTTGATAGATTTCAGTATCTTTTGATGCATTCATAAGTTGCCTTAACTCTCTAATATCTGTATGCTGATGCATTGTATATATTCTTGATATAGTTATCTTATTTGTTTGAAATTATTGATTTTGGATTCTTCTCCAAGAGTTCAATCCTGAAAGCAGCATTTAGTTCTCTGTATGCATTGATGAGATTTCCTGATTCGTCTTGAGCGAAGATGTTCTGTATATCCGAGGAATCTGCATCTTGATAGTCTGATCTTTTGCTGAGAGCATCTGCTTGTTCGTTCTCTGAGCCTTTGCAGTATACAATCTTGAAGTTAAACTGTAAGAGAAATTCTGCTCATCTAACTTATTGCTTATTCAAAACCTTAGTTATCATGAATATAGTTAGATTCTTGTAATCCGAATGAACTATGATTGAGTGTTGTATGCTAATGAGATAGTATTGCTACTTCTCGAAAGCTTTTATTATTGCTATAAGTTCCTGATCAGGGATTCTGTAGTTAATTTCCGAGCTATTCAACTTTTTTGAGAAGTTGCTTACAATCCTTAGATATTCTTGATTATCTTGCTAACTAAATTATTCTCTGAGTGCATATTCTGATGCATCGGTTTCAATTTCAAAGGATTTGTAGGGATCTGCTTTATATAGAACTAGCTCTAAGGTGATATACTTGATGATCTTATCAAAAGCTTCTTATGCTTTGGAGATCTATTTGAAGGATTGATTTCTTTTGATAAGATTTGTAAGAGGATATGCGATTCGGCTATAGTTTCTGATAAACTGTTTGTAGAAATTAATGTATTCAAGAAAAGATTTAATATCTCTAATATTTCTGAGAATTAGCTAGTTTCTGATAGCTTTCATCTTATCTTTCTGTAGCTTGATGCATCCCAGCTCGATTGTGAATCCGAGATAGTTGACTTTTTGTATATAAAAGTAGCTCTTTGCAAGCTCTATAAGAAGCTTTGCATTTTGGAGCGTTTGCAATATTGTTTCCATGTATTTCTTATATTCTTTCAATGTTTGAGAGTAAATAAGAATGTTATTGAGATAGGCAATGATGAACTGATTCAGATGCTTGCATAGAATATAATTGATTATTTCCTGAAATGAAGCTAAGGCATTCGTTAAACTAAAAAGCATAACCAAATATTCGTAATATTCATAGCGTATTCTAAAAGCAGTTTTCCATTCTTCTCCTTTCTTTACTCTAATCAGATTGTAAGCTCCTTTTAGATCTAAAACTATAAACTATTATACTTCTTGCAGCCTATCTTATAATTCCTTGATAAGTAGCAACAGATATCAGTTCTTAATTGTAATATTGTTGAGTTGCTTATAATCAATATATAGCCTAAGCTTGCTATTTTTCTTAGATATAAACAGAATGGGATATCCTGCTAGTGATTGCAATAGTTGTATATATCCTTTCTTAAGATTCTTGTCAAGATACTCCCGAAGTGTCTCTAGCTATACTTTATTTAGTCTGTAGATAGGGAAGAATTTGTGCTGTTTCTCTTCTTGTAGCAGGATCTCGTAATTATATAAGCTGTATTCTAGCAATCCTGTATTCAATTCTTCCTGGAACAGTTTCTTAAACTTGTAATATTCTTGTAGTATGTTTGCAAGTATTGGTTCTGGTTCTCGTGCTGTTTCTGCTACCTGGAGGAACAGTAGGTACTGTTGAGCGTGCTTCTTTTCTAATGGCGTTTTCGAGGGCCTTGAGCGTTCGCTCCGGGCCGGACCGAGCGCTCGAGGGCCTGGTTTCGAGGTTTTTCCCGTGTGGGTTCACAATCCACATTCTGAAGCTTTTCCTTGTCGCTCCGGGGCGGACCGACTTGCTGAGGGTCTCGCTTCCGTTGTTTTGCTAACCTGTTAGCGCCCTGGCACTGTTTAAGTTCGCTTATCACTAGATCCTTCTTCTTAAACTGCCAGCCCTGCTGGTTTGAAAGTATGTATGAAGTCGTGTAAAGCTTCTTTTCCTGAATATTCTTCAACCACTAGCTTCAATCCTGCGCTATTGATTGTAACTATCTCTCTGAGTATAGCTTGTTCTCATGAAATCTAGCTAGTAGTCTAATCGATTCGAGAATTGTGCTCCTTGAGCTATAGAAGCTCCATAATTAGCTTATGCTGTGCTGTATTCGTAATATCAAAAGAAGCTCTGATTATGCATTCTTGGATCAAAACAGATAGATAATCAGTTTCCTTATCAATTACTTCTTAATTGTATACAACAGATTGTTCTTCTACAGTGCTAAGAGTATATAAGCATCTCTTTCATTTTCATTATAGTTGTGCCTGATTAACAATGTATAGGAATATAAAGTTTTCCTAAGCGCTACTATTCAATAGTATGCTATATTTGTATTCTTGAATATATATATCGAACTTAATATAAGCGTAATCTGTTCTAAAAGCTTCATATAGAAATCATTTCAGTCTGATTATCTGTAATCTCTTTACAAGCAATCCTATTCTTTTAGATTTGTTGAGAACTGCTTATCCTTCTAAGCCTGCTTCGCTGCTTCTCAAGCAAGCTTCTTAGCTTGTTTTTGCTCATATCATCATTATTCCTGATCTTTCTTCTGTTAATGCCAGTTGCAAACTTTGTTATTAATGTGAATTGTACAGAATATTATCTTGCACTGCTACCACTCTATCTTTTTATCTACGCATTGCATGAAGCAATTATCCAGTAGCCCGATATATGCGTTGTAGTATTGCTTGTTGAGAATCTCTCTGAAGCGGAATTTCTGTTCTTTAACAGCCTGAAGGATTTGTTCTGATTCTCTAACAGAGAATCATTCGTATTGCACTTTCTCCGAGAAATGCATTCTACAGCTATGATAGATGCAGGAGATTTATGCTAATTCGTGATATAGGTTGTGAAGTAAGCTGATCTGAGAGTTCTTATCTTCTCGTGCTTTGATGTTTTGCAAGGGAATGCAGATAAAGAGCTTTTCTAATCCTATCTTATAAACGAGATATTCAATTCATATTATTTTCTTGTTTCATCTAATGCTGAAGGAGAACCTTTCTATAAGCTTTTTGGGTTTATTGTTCACAGGAGACTTCAGTAAATTGTTAGATCATTCGTTTTAGCTTGATCTTTCTGTTGCCTGAGAAGCGTTTTCGGTATTGTTTAGATATTTATACTAATAATTAAGAGAGTATTATTCTTTGTTTATTTCTCTGATTATGATATCTGATATAGATGATGGGGAATAGCGAAGGGTATTATCATTAAGCTCTTTCTTCAGCGCTTGAATGCTTTGTTCAGTGATATCAGAGCAGTTTAAGCTGTTGCTGCTCGTAGTCGTGCTGAGCATATACCCTCGCCCTGCTATCGCTATCTGCCTGTAGCGCCTAGGTTTCTAAAGAAACTATTCTGAATCTTTCTTATTCGAGAAGTGTATTAAGCAGTTGTTGTTATAACAGAATATCTAGCTAAGACTTTCATAATTAACAGAGTTCGATACTTGCTCCAAGAAGATGTTTTTGCTTAGTTGATTGGATTCCTATCATTAAGTAACATTTATCTAGCATTCTTTCTGAACTGATTATCATTTGTTCTTTCAGAATTGATAGTAGTTGCATACAATGTATTCTTATTTGTTACAGTTGTAGTAAGTAATACTATTCCTCTTGCTATACTGCTTATTAGCAGCATCGAGTTCCATAGGATCAGCATGCATAGTGCTGCTCTGAGCTATACTGCTATATTAACCGCTATTCTTGTTTTGAAGCTTCTTGCTCGTATTAGCTGGAAATCTCCAAGTCTAGCTTCCTTTCTTCTTGGACTTCTCTATCTATCGTTCATACAGATGGTTGTTGATGCGGATAGCTTGATTGGAGAACGTTGTAAAGTTCTCTGGCCAATCCTGCTTAAAGATTTCATCTTTAACATCATCCTTAAGTTTCTTGTAGTAATGCTCCATAAGATTCTTATCTTTCTACAGGAGTTATGCTGAGAGTTGCTTGAATCTGATTATATAGACAGAAGCCGATTTGGTCTGCTTGAGATCCATAAGCTGCTAAGCTGTAATGCGTTCTTCATTGGGATTACTAAAGATCTCTTTGAGAGCTTTCTCGAAGCTCTCAAAGGAATTGAACATATTCTTAATACTCTGGATATGCGCGTTGGGATTGTTCTGATGCTCCAAGTGGTTGCGTAGAGAAAGCTTGTATCAGATAAGAGCATTCTTTTCGAGACGAGTCCCTGCGAGAATAACTTTCTCAGATTTCTTGGTGAACTGAGTCTTGTAATGCAGAAAATACGCTCTGCAGTAGGTGAGGAATTCATGTAGCATCTTTTGATTGCTGTTATACATAGCGGGCTTATTCATCTTGTATGCTTTTCCAGCGCCACTGGAGGTCGGAGAGGTAGTCTGCGCCTGCTAAGCCTGTTAAGCTAGCTGGGCCTGTTGGTTAGCGATGGTAGCGCTCTGAGCCTGTTGTTGTTCGCGCAGATCCTGGATACATTGAATAAGCTGATACACCTGGTTAACCAGTTCTTCCTGAGTAGGAGTGCGCGAGAACGAAGGAGTTCCTGGAGGAGCTATTGTATTCCGTATTGCTCAAGTGGTAACACTGAACCGTTCTTGAACAAGAATTATCAAAATGTAATGAGCACTACAGCAATCCGAAGATTCCTAAGTATATGAAGGGGTTTATGCTAACAAGAGCAGTATTAAAGTATTAAGTTCTTGAATACAGAACCGTACAAGTCCTAATAAGCGATGCAAGTATTTACTGCCTTTAGGGCTACTCAGTATATAAAACTGAATACTTAGATTGATAACTGAAGAATTATTTGAAGGAAATCTATCTGGCAGTAAGAAATGTAAACCTTTATATACCTAGTTCTTCAGTCCCTTGCTTGCTAGTGATCATTCTAGATCATCATTGATCATTCCGGATCATTACTAATCACTGAGCGCTGGTGATTACTAGTAATCGTCCTATTGTTTGATTGGTTGGCTTGTAATCCTAATTCTGGGTTATGTAATCCTTGTGGGTTGTCTGACGTTGAGTCATAACACCTGATCCTTGTTTGCCTGTAACCTGTTTTCGTGACTTGCATGTTGGATGGGTTATAACAAGATTATAATATCATCTTTCTTTTATCAGTTGTTATTTCCAACAATTCTTTGTAAGTATTCTAGCAAGTTTTCTGTATATATGATCTTGCTTTTCTAATCAAGATGTTGAATAGAATTAACAAATCTTGTTCTTGCGCTGAGAAGATTAAACAAAAGAATTCTCTTCTTTCTTTAATTCTTATAAATGCTATTACTATACCTTCTTATTCTTTCTGCAAGAATTATAGTATTCAGTTTTGTTAAATCTCTATTAAGAACTTCTTTTGCTATGCTAAATGTATTCGCTTAAGCTGCTCTTAGTGCGATGTTTAAGAATTGAGTGCAGCAGAAATTCATTGAATAAGCATTCAATACTAATGCTTGGAGAACCAACTTGAGAGTATTAAGGGGCAGCTGCGTAATGCTGCTATGGAGGTAGGATGTTTGCAGAAGTAGAAACGTTTGTAGTTTGAGAGGATGATGAAGGCTGTTTGCTGAGGCTTTTCTAGCATGAAGGAGCTAGAGCATGAGAAAGCTAAGAAGGAGCGAGCCTGCATTGCTGCTGGGATTCGTTCTGTAGTTGCAGAGAAGTTTGCTGTTATTGCTAGGAATTCTTCTTTTAAGAGTTTCGATTGGAATTCCGTGGATGTAGGGAATTCAGTGATAGATTAGTTAGATTTTCTGGAAAGTAAGATTTCTAAAGCTTCTGAATCTCGGTTCGGGGTAAAGCGATTATCCTAGATGTTAGTTTTCTTCCTTTTCCAATATTCAGCTACTTTTTCCTGAGTATTCTTAATATTCTTCGGTAATTCTTATGAATTTTCGCTTACTAGGTAATCTTTTCATTTGATGAAGTATTCTCTTATGCTGTTTGTATTTCTATGCTTGAGAATCTTTTCTATCTTATACTCTGGTTCATTATTTTCTATTTCTGCTGTATTGTTTGCTAGTATTTCTTATGCTGCTAATTCTAGTAATGAAATGTAAAAGATTAAATATATTCTCATTTCATGAGATAATGCTAGCTTGTAATTAATTAGGGAAATCTGTTGCAAGATTTTGAATGATTCTAACTTCTTATAATTAAGTTTGTTGCTAGATTTAGTTGTTTTGATGTTTTTTCGAAGTAGATAAATCTTATCTTCCTTTTGTAAAATTGGTTTCTCAATTCTTTTGGAGTTTGTATACTGTATTATTTGTTCTTGGATGAATTGTAATTCTAGCTAAAGTTCTTTCTGAATTTTCTTAATTCTCTTAACTCTTTTGTTTGCAGCTTCTGCATCTGCTTCTAGCAATGCTTTATAATAAGCTATTAGATTATATTTATAGAATATAAAGAATAGTGATTTCTTTATTATGCTTATATTTGTACTATTATAAGCGAATTATGCAAAAGATAATAGATTAATTTAATTATTCTGTTTCTGATTAATATAGTATTAAAAATATTATTTAATAATCTAATTCATTCTTTCTATCTATTTATCTGTTTGTAAATAAAATGCTATAGATATTCTGTAATATATTCCAAGCTGTTTTATAAGTAAAATTCAAAACTTTGAGTTGAACTTTCTGTTTCTATTAGAGATTACTTCTTCTAGCATGCTATAGTTAGCAATAATTGTTCTGAGAAATGTATATGCAAGTTCTTCTGCTATACTGCTTTCCTTGTAGAAGAGAAAGTAAGCATACTTGCTTAGTCTGCAAATCACTACTAGAATGCTATTATATTGCACTTTAGTTAAGAGTTCTTATAAGAGAAATAGCTTAGTAATAAAATCTAAACTAATAAATTGCTAAATAGTTATAAGTATTGATAAGGAGTGCAGCAGTTTGTAAAGCTTATATTTTTCTGCTTTATTCTTCTTGCAGCTATTATATTGTTATAAGATATTCTTAATTCTTTTCCTAAGATCTGATAGATTCTAGTATTTTTTGATGTATTTGTAGATTGCTCTAACTCTCTGATATCCATATGCTGATGCACTATATACATTCTTGATATAGTTATTTTGTTCGTTTGGAATTATTGATTCTGAATTCTCTTCTAAGGATCCAATTCTGAAGGCAGCGCTCAGCTCTCTATATGCATTAACAAGATTTCCTAATTCGTTTTGAGCAAAGATGTTTTGTATATTCAAGAAATCTGCATTTCGATAATCTAATCTTCTGCTAAGAGCATCTGCTCGTTTATTCTTCAAATCTTTGCAGTATATAATTCTGAAATCAAATTGTAGGAGAAATTCTGCTTATTTAACTTGTTACTTGTTTAAGATTTTGATTATTATAAATATAATTAGATTCTTATAATCTGAGTGAACTATAATCGGATACTGTATGCTAATAAGATAGTATTGCTATTTCTCGAAAGCTTTTACTATTGCTATAAGTTCTTAGTTAAGGATTCTGTAGTTGATTTCTGAGCTATTCAGTTTTTTTGAAAAGTTGCTTATAATCTTTAAATATTCTTGATTATTCTGCTAACCAAGTTATTCCTCGAATGCATATTCTGATGTATCAGTTTCAACTTCAAAGAGTTTATAAAGATCTGCTTTATATAGAATTAGCTCTGAAGTAATATGCTTAATAATTTTATTAAAAGCTTTTTATGCCTTAGAAGTTTATTTGAAAGATTGCTTCTTCTTAGTAAGATTTGTAAGAGAATGTGCAATCTAGCTGTAATTCTTAATGAACTGCTTATAGAAGTTAATGTATTCGAGAAAAGATTTAATATTTCTAATATTCCTAGGAATTAGCTAGTTTCTAATAGCTTTTATCTTATCTTTCTATAGCTTAATATATTCTAGCTTGATTGTAAATCCGAGATAGTTGACTTTCTGTATATAAAAGTAATTTTTTGCAGATTCTATAAGAAGTTTTGCATCTTAGAATATTTGCAATACTATTTCCATATATTCCTTGTATTTCTTTAATATTTGAGAGAAAATAAGAATATTATTGAGATAAGCAATAATGAATTAATTCAGATGCTTATATAGAATATAATTAATTATTTCTTGGAATAAAGCTGGAGTATTTGTTAAACTGAAGAGTATAATTAAGTATTCATAGTATTTGTAGCATATTCTGAAAGCAGTTTTCCATTTCTCTTCTTTCTTTATTCTAATTAGATTGTAAGCTCTTTTTAGATTTAGAACTATAAACTACTATACTCCTTATAATCTATCTTACAGTTCTTTGATAAATAGTAATAAATATTAGTTTTTGATTATAATATTATTAAATTACTTATAATTAATATATAGCTTAAGCTTGCTATTCTTCTTAAGTATAAATAAAATGGGATATTCTGCTAGTAATTGCGATAATTGTATATATCTCTTTTTAAGATTTTCATTAAGATACTTCTTGAGCGCTTCTAATTATATCTTGTCTAGTCTGTAGATGGGGAAGAATTTGGGCTGTTTTCCTTCTTGTAGCAGGATTTTGTGATTGTATGAGCTGTATTCTGGCAATTCTGTATCCAATTCTTTCTGAAACAATTTCTTGAATTTGTAGTATTTCTGTAGTATGCTTGCAAGTGTTGGTTCTGATCTATATACTGTCTCTGCTATCTGAAGGAATAGTAGATACTGTTGAGCATGCTTCTTTTTCAGTAGTGTTTTCGAGAGCCTTAAGCATTCGCTCCGGTCTGAACTGACTGCTCAGAGGCTTGGTTTCGAGGTTCTTCTTGTATAGATCTACAATTCACTTTCTGAAGCTTTTTCTTGTTGCTTCGGAGCGAACTAATCTGCTGAGAGTTTTGCTTCTGTTGTTTTGCTAATCTATTAGCATTCTAGCATTATTTAAGTTCGCTTATTACTAGGTTCTTTTCCTTGAACTGCTAGCTCTGCTAACTTGAAAGTATATATGAAGTTGTATAAAGCTTCTTTTCCTAAATATTCTTCAACCACTAGCTTTCATTCTGCATTGTTGATTGTAACTATCTTTCTGAATATAGCTTATTCTTATGAGATCTAGCTAGTAGTTCAATCGATTCAAGGATTATGCTTCTTAAGCTATAGAAGTTCTATAATTAGCTTATGCTGTGCTATATCCGTAATATTAAAGGAAATCTTAGCTATATGTTCTTGAATCAAGATAGATAGATGATCAGTTTTCTTGTTAATTACTCCTTGGTTGTATGTAACAGGTTGTTCTTTTATAGTGCTGAGAGTGTATAGCTGCTTCTTTCATTTCTACTGTAGTTATGCTTGATTGATGATATATAGGAATATAAAGTTTTCTTAAGCGCTACTATTCAATAGCGCGCTATACTTGTATTCTTGAATGTATATATTGAGCTTAATGTAAGCATAGTCTGCTTTAAAAGCTTTGTATAGAAACTGTTCCAGTCTGATCATCTGCAGTTTCTTTACAAGCAATCCTAGCCTTTTAGAGTTGCTGAGAGCTGCTTGCTCTATTTCTAAGCTTATTTTACTGCTTTTTAAGCAAGCTTCTTAGCTTGCTTTTGCTTATATCATTATTATTCCTAATCTTTCTTCTGCTGATGCTAGTTGCAAATCTTATTGCTAATATGAATTATATAGAGCATTATCTTATACTGCTACTATTCTATTTTCTTGTTTATACATTGCATAGAGCAGTTATTTAGCAGTTCAATATATGCATTATAGTGCTATTTGTTGAAAACTTCTTTAAAGCGAAGCTCTTGTTCCTTAATAGTCTGAAGGATTTATTCTAATTCTTTAACGGAGAACTATTTGTATTGCACTTTTTCCGAGAAATGCATTCTGCAGCTATAATAAGCATAGAAGATCTATGCTAGCTTGTAATATAGATTGTAGAGTAAGCTGATTCGAGAATTCTTATCTTGTTGCGCTTTGATGTTTTGCAAGGAAATGAAGGTGAAGAGCTCTTCTAATTCTATCTTATAGATGAGATATTTAATCTATATTGTTTTCTTGTTCTATCTAATGCTAAAGGGAAACTTTTCTGTAAGCTTCTTAAGTTTATTATTCATGAGAGATTCTAGTAAACTGCTAGATTATTTGTTCTGGCTTAACTCTTCTGTTGCTTGGGAAGCGTTTTCGGTATTATTTAGGTATTTATACTAATAGCTAAGAGGGTATTATTCCTTATCTACATTCCTGGTTATAGTGCTTAGCATAGATAATAAGAAATGATGAAGAGTATTATTGCTAAGCTCTTTCTCTGATGCTTGAATGCTTTGTTTAATAATGCTAGAGCAGTTCGAGTCATTGCTGCTCATAGTTGTACTGAGTATATATCTTCGCTCTGCTGCTGCTATCTGCCTGTAGCACCTAGATTTCTGGGAGAACTATTCTAAACCTTTCTTACTCGAGAGATATATTAAGCAGTTATTATTATAGCAGAATGTTCAGCTGAGACTTCCGTAATTAATAGAATCTGATACTTACTCTGAGAGGATGTTTTTGCTCAGTTAATTGGATTTCTATTGCTGAATAATATTTATCTAGCATTCTTTCTGAATTAGCTGCTATTTATTCTTCTAAAGTTGATAGCAGTTGCATGCTATATGTTTCTGTTTGTTGCAATTATAGCAAGTAATGCTATTTCTCTTGCTATACTGCTTATTAGCTATATTGAGTTCTATAGAACTAGCATATATAGTGCTGCTCTGAGCTATGCTGCTATATTGATTGCTATTTTTGTTTTGAAGTTTCTTGCTTGTATTAGCTGGAAATCTCCAAGTTTAGCTTCCTTTCTTTTTAAACTTCTCTACTTATTATTTATACAGATAGTTATTAATGCAGATTGCTTAGTTGAAGAATATTGCAAAATCCTCTAGCTAATCCTGCTTGAAGATCTCGTTCTTAATATCATTCTTGAATCTCTTATAATAATATTCTATAAGATTCTTATCTTTCTATAAAAGTTTTGCTAAGAGCTGTTTGAATCTAATTATATAAGCAGAAGCTAACTTAGTTTGTTTGAGATTCATAAGCTGCTAAGCTATAATACATTCTTTATTAGAATTGCTAAAGATCTTCTTGAAAGCTTTTTCGAAGCTTATAAAAAAATCAAATATATCTTTAGTATCTTAGATATACATATTGGAATTATTCTAATACTTCAAGTAGTTATATAGAAAAAGCTTGTATTAGATAAGAGCATTCTTTTCAAGATAAGTTTCTGCAAGAATAACTTTTTCGGATTCTATAATAAACTGGATTATATAATGCAAGAAGTATGCTTTGCAATAGATAAGGAATTCATATAGCATCTTCTGATTCCTATTATATATGATAAGCTTATTCATCTTGTATGCTTTTCTAGCATTGCTAGTGATTGCAGAGATAGACTGCGCTTGCTAAGCTTGTTGAGCTAGCTGAGCTTGCTGATCAGCGATGGTGGCGCTCTGGGCCTGCTGCTGGTTGCGCAAATCCTGAATGCGCTAGATGAGCTGATATATCTGGTTAATTAGTTCTTCCTGAGTAGAGGCGTGCGAGAACGAAGAAGTTCTCTGAGAAGCTATTGTATTCCGTATTGCTTAAGAGGGTAATATTAAACCGTTCTTGAACAAGAGTTATCAAAATGTAATAAGTACTGCAGCAATCCGAAGATTCCAAAGTATACAAAGGGTTTATGCTAACAAGAGCGGTATCAAAGTGTTAAGTTCTTAAATACAGAACTATATAAGTTCTAATAAGCAATGCAAGTATTCATTGCTTTTAGGGCTATCAGAGTAAGAGAGTAATCTAATACTTAGATTGATAACTGAAGAGCTATGTACTGAGTCTATCTAATGATGATGAATGTGTTTTTATATATTCAGCTCTTCAGTATGGATATGTTGGATAGCAACATATTCAAGTTATCCTGCTAGCTCTGGATAGTACATATTCAAAGCTATCCTTCCTGATTGGTCGTGCTTATAACCCTAACCCTGGGTTAGGTAATCAATGCTTTGTCAGAACGTTGGGTTCTTAACACCTGGTTCTTGTTGCTCGTGACCTGTTTCGTAACCTGCATGTTGAATGGGTCATAACAAGTATAGTTTTATGAATCTGATGATAGATTCATTGATTCATAATATAAGAATCTGAGGATTTCCGAGCAGATTCATTGATTTATAATATAAGAATCTAAGGATCTCTGAGCAGATCCATAGATCCTCCCTCTATTACAACCCTAATCCTGAGTTATGTGATACTGTTTATTGTTTATCGCTGAGTTGCAACACCTGGTTCCTTGTTTGGCGGGGCCTGCTCTGTGACCTGCATGCTGGATGTGTAATGAATGCACTGCAATATCCGAAGATCTGAAGTATACAAAGGGTTTATGCTAACAAGAGCGGTATCAAAGTAGAATCCACTGAATACGGAATTGTAACGGGGAATCCGTGCAAGTGCTGATCATTCGCCTTTGGGGCTATTCAAGTGTGTGACAAATGAATACTTAGATTGATGACTGAAGAGCTATGTCCTGGTGGTCTATCTAGTAGTAATGAACATATCCTTATATATCCAGCTCTTCAGTATAGCTCTATGGATCTGCTAGCAGATCCATTGATCCATGGTATGAGGATCTGAGGATCTCCGAGCAGATCCATTGATCCTCCCTCCATTACAATCCTAACCCTGGGTTATGTAATACACCCCGTTCCATTCAGGTGAACGGACCCGCTTTATTTTTGCACTTCCCAACTTCTCCACCCAAAACGCGTGTGATTTACGGGCTTGTGAAAACGCTCTTTTTTTGCTTCGACTTTTGAAGAACTTCCTCGCTTAGCCGCCCCCCACCCTCGCTATCCGGCTTTGAAGCTATTCAGTATACCAAAATCGAGTATTGCAAATCGAATGATGGTGGTTAGGCCTTATTAGGACCAATGCCTGGCTCACAGCTTAGCGATGGAGACTGCTTCATCATTACTGGCCTGCTCAAGGATAGCTTTTCCAACAAAGATATTGCCACCAGCGTAAATATCACTCCGGACTATGCTCAAAAGCTTTGAAAGCGATGGATTATTACAGGGAGTATTTTCATTAAGCAGAACTGCACTGATCGAACGAAGCTTCTACTATTTCATCTAGCTGTATGCTCTAAACCTATTCTCCTCATCAACTTTGGCTGTATCAGATGCTGATACTTCGAATGATAAGAATTGCTTGATCTTCTGGCTGAAAAGGGCAATATATATCTCGATGAGATGCAACTATAGCTATTCGAACAATTCAATCTCGAGATCTCGAAAGCTATACTGAGCTGCTGTTTTCATATCGAGAACTGGATTAAGAAAAAACAAGCTCTTGTTGCTTTCGAGCGCAATGAAGCTCTTTGTGCTGACTATATCTGAATAATCAGAGAGTAGCAGCTAAGCCAGTTCATCTTTATAGATGAATCTGGCATTAATAAGAGAGGGATAAACCAATGAACTGCTTAAGCATCTAGCGGATTGAAAGCTTGCAAGCGAGTGCCTAGCGGAGGAATCTATTATAGTATGCAGTATCAGATATTGCTAGCGCTTTCTCTTGAAGGCATTATAGCTCTGTTGGTATACAAGGATGCTACTGATGCTAAGAGCTTTCTGCTATATATCCAAGAGCTAGTCCTGCTACAATGTACTTCTTTCTCTGGCTCTTGGAGCGTGCTGGTGATGGATAATGCGTTTTTCCACTATTACGATAGCTTCAGGCAGCTGTGCGAGAATGCTAGTATTGTTTTGAAGTATCTCCCTTCGTATAGCTCTCATCTCAATCCTATTGAAGCCTTCTTTGGCGAGCTTAAAGCATATATTCGATAGCATGCAGCGTATATTCAAGATAACTGGGAAAGTGAGGATGATTAGCGCCAGTTCTTAATTAAATCAGTATATACGATAGGCAAGAAGAAGGAGAATATTAGAGAGCATTTCCTAGCTGCTTAGATGCTAGAGCTAGGAGAAAGATAGATAATAGTGCTGAAGTTAGGAAATGAGATATAACTAAGGATTTTGAGAATACTAGGTATTGAACAGAGCTTGAAAACAGAAATATATCGACTATTGCTATACAAATTATACTAATATTACTTATATCCTTGTTTCCTGCTATATATAGATTTCTTAGATCTTGCAGATTCTTATTTCTTATATCTTCTTCCTTCCGTTTTACAACCTCTCTTGTTAATCCACTTCAACTATTGCTATCAATACTAAGGTAGCAATAGTATCTGATTATTGCAAAGCAACGAATCCTTTCGCTATCCAGACATTTGATGCTATTCAGGCGAAGCTGCTGATGCTATTGTTGCTTGCGAAGGCGGTATAAGCTATTGATCAGGCTGTTGCAAGACAGAAGGGGTTCTAAGCTGTTGATTAGCTAAGTTGATGCTATTCCTATCCTTCTCGATAAGGAACTCCTTTAGAAACTGATGCATCAGATTAATAGTGCGTGTTTCAATGCTATGTATATTGTACCAGCCATATAGCACGCTGCTAAGCTTGCTGAGAGCAATATTCTCGCAAGCTAGCTTCTCTTCCATGCAACGAACAGCTTCAGCCTTTACTAGATCTTGAGCCTTGCGCTATCGAAGTACTCTGAAGAACTCGTTCATAAAGCTATCTATATCAAGCTCTTCTAGCATGATAGAGCTCGAAGAGAATATCATGATTGGCCGGCCTGGTGGCGTAGTTGGCGCCTGAGAAGGCATATATCTCGAGGAAGGCTCAGCTCCAGGCATCTGATAAGATGTATATATAGAGAGAGGCATTGTTGGAGGGGCTGATGGTAGCAGGAATGAGGGCATTGTTGACTCGGGTCTGTTCAGCTGCTCTTGAAGCAACTGCGCTAGCATCGCAGGATCTTCTCTTCCGTTGATGTTGATGATATTGCTGCTGATAGAGCTGTTGCTTTTCCCAGCGCATGCCTTCCCTCTTCTGTTTAGGAGATCTTCCCATATACCTGATGCTAGCGCTGCTTTAGCTGTTAAGCTGGATGCAAGGCTATCTCCAGTGCTCGAGATTGCTTGTATACGGAAGATAGCACGACTGAGGATCTGGCGATATATACTAAGTGGAATATGATCAATATCAGCCTTTTCAGCCTTGTTTGCGATCTTCTCTGCTTATTGCATCAGGTTCTGTTGATCAAGCTTCAAATGATGATTATCAGGCTCGATCTAACAATGTATAGCAAACTTGGTACTGTTTCTGTTGTTGGTACAGCGTATAGGATTACAGCATTGCTAATGAATATTGAGCTGCTTGTGAAGGTTTCTCTGGCTGGCGATCTCAGCATTGATCTGCTTGTGCATATTCGAGGCTTTTGAGCGCGAGCGAGCTGTTCCTGGCGTCTGAAGCGCTTGTGCTGTTGTGCTTGCAGGCGTGAAGAGATCGTTGAACTCGCTAGCTTTTGCTTCGATGGCGACTTGAGTATCTGCTGCTAGCTGGCTAGCTGCAGCTGGAGGGAGTTCTCTGGATAGAGCATGAGGGATATATCTGCTGCTGCTGATCTTGAGGTTGAAGATATATGTGATGATAAGCTAATGGGGATTCTTTCTATTGAGCAGAACATCGCTAATTTGTTGTGCAGCACTGCGAAAATCATTGTTCATTACCTCGTTGCAATGAATCTTCTCGCCTCGATGGATAGTATTTCCTCTGCTCACGACGATCCTAGCAAAGCTATATTTAGTACAAACAGTTCGTTCTTCTACAACTCGAGCAACTCGTATGGTTTGTTCGTTCAGCTAAGCAGTTAAAGCATTCTTGATGATGATGTTGAGGAAACAAGGCACGCTAGCAAACCTCTTTGTAAGCACTTCTGGAGATGCGATTCCTCGAAACTGTGCGCGCTGATAAGGAGGATAATGCCAGTCGATGCGGACCTCTGCTGGAGTAGCAATCTCGATAGCCTCGAGGTTCTCAGCTTGCTCAGCATTATCGCTCTCATCCTTGCTCTCTATTACGATAGGGCTGGCAGGCGTTTGTGCTTTTGTGATAGCAGCTTTGGCAGCTTTGGCAGCAGCTTGATCAGCAGCTCGCTCTGCAGTTCTCTGCTCAGAAGCGCGCCTAGAAGCAGCTCTTCTAGCCTCTCGAGCCGCTGCTAGTTCCTCGTCTCGAGCTCTTCTCTCCTCAGCAATTGCTACTCGTTCAGCTCTCTTCTCTTCGGCAATTGCTGCTTGTTCAGCAGCTTTTCGCTGGACTGCTGCTTCTTCAGCAGCTGCTTTGGCATTCAGCCTGGCCTGAGCTTTTGCTGATAACTTCTCAGGCTCAGGTTAACGAGAAGTTTCCTGTACTATTGTACGTTTTGTAGCAGAAGCTTTCAAAGAAGCTTTAGCCTTGCGTTTAGCAGGCATTTTAGCAGGCTTCAAGAGTGCTGGCTCGAATCGTATGCATGCTTTAGGGTTCGAACGAAGCCGGCGAGGGGATGCTTTGCGCTCTTGGGATGCCCTCCGGAGGATAGGCTGTAGCTCAAGCAGATGATCTTCTAGAAGAGATGTATATCAGACATCGAATTAGCTATTTCCCTGCTTATATACCTCGTTGTTAATAGCTATATGGCTATAGCTGTTGTTCTCGAAGGCGTAGGACTTACTGGTGCTGAGGGCTAGCAACGCTTGAGCGCCAGCAGCACTGTTAGATGCTGGAGATAATAGGTCTGGTGATAGATCTATATATTCTATCATGTATACAGTCAAAATTCGTATAGTTTGGAATAGCTTTACGTGTTGGGGGGTAGCCAGGCGAGGAAGTTCTTCAAAAGTCAAAGCAAAAAAAGAGCGTTTTCACGAGCTCATAAATCACACGCGTTTTGGATGGAGAAGTTGGGAAGTGCAAAAATAAAGCGGGTCCGTTCACCTGAATGGAACGGGGTGTACTGTCTGTTGTCCAACGCTGGGTTGCAACACCTGATCCCTTGTTTGCGGAGCTTGCTCTGTAATCTGCATGTTGGATGGGTTATAACATCATCTCCCTCCTATTAGTTGTTATTCTTAACAATCTTTCGTAAGTTTTCTAGCAAGCTCTTTATGCATTGGATCATGCCTTCCTAATCGAGATATTGAACAGAATTACAAAACCCAAATCTTCGAATCCTCATTCTAACAAAAAGAAACAAAAGAACTTTCTTTTTCAGTCTATTATCTCTAATGAATTCGATATGCATTCTTGCTTCTATTATAATAAGCGCAGTTTGATTTCGTATACTGTTTCTCCCAAGAATTCTTCTCGTTGTTCCAAGTGCGTAGCTCAAGGCTATACGAAGTGTAACATCCTAGAACCAACCAACACTGCCGAACTTCTCCTTACTTCGATACAACACCAAAAATTGAAGAATGAGATCGAGAAGCTGGAGCTAAGGTTGACTCGGTTGTATCAGCAGAAAAGGATGTAGCGCGAGAGGATATCCAAGGCTATCCGTCGAGGTCTCAAGAATCTTAAGGAGCTTGAGAAGAAGGAAGCTGAGGAGGCTGAAGCTGAACGGATTCGTGCTGCTGCTGAGGTGCAGGCTGTTGTAGCTATTATTTATATCAAATCGCGCCACTATTAGCATATACGCATTATACTTGAAAATATTTCGCATAGCTTTACGATCAGCATTAAACTGCGCGAGAAGATGAAAAACAAATTTATTCAAAAAAATTAAATAAAAAAAACATCAAACGAAAAAAAAAAAAAAAATATTAAGGAAAAAGAGAACTCTACCCTGCAGTAATGTGAACCCTACAAGCTTACCGAGCTTCTTCAGCGGCCATTGTCATGGCATCCATCTCGGCTGTCATAGGCTTGCTTTGCTTGCCCGGCTTCCGTCCCATTCATTTCCACAAACAGAGTTAAGTCAAAGCAGCTCCCCGAATCCAAGCCTTCAAAGGAATCGAATATGTCTTTGGTATCCTGAGTATGCGCGTCGGGGTCGTCCTGATGCTCCAAGTGGTTGCGTAGAGAAGGCTTGTACTAGATGAGAGCATCCTTTTCGAAACGAGTTCCTGCAAGGATAACTTTCTCGGATTCCATAGTGAACTGGGTTGCGTAGTGCAAGAAGTACGCCCTGCAATGAGTAAGAAACCCATGCAGTGTTTTTTGGTTGCTATCATACATAGCGGATTTGTTCATCTTGTAAGCTTTTCCGGCACTGCTGGTGACTGCAGAGGTAGACTGCGCCTGCTGAGCTTGTTGGGCTAGCTGGGCCTGTTGGTTGGCGATGGTGGCGCTCTGGGCCTGCTGCTGGTCGCGCAGGTTCTGGATGCGCTGAGTGAGCTGGTACACCTGGTTGACTAGTTCTTCCTGAGTAGGGGCGCACGAGAACGAAGAAGTTCCCTGAGAAGCTATCGTGTTCTGTATTGCTCAAGGGATAACACTGAACCGTTCTTGAACAAGAGTTATCAAAATGTAATGAGTACTGCAGCAATCCGAAGATTCCAAAGTATACAAAGGGGATTTATGCTAACAAGAGCGGTATTAAAGTGTCAAGTTCTTGAATACGGAATCGTACAAGTTCTCAATAAGCGATGCAAGTGTTTACTGCTTTTGGGGCTACTCAGTGTGTAAGACTGAATACTTAGATTAACAACTAAAGAGCTATGTACTGAATCTATCTAATGGTAATGAATGTGTTCTTATATATCCAGCTCTTCAGTATGGATATGTTGGATAGCAACATATCCAAGTTATCCTGCTAGCTTTGAATAGCACATATCCGAAGCTATCCCTTCTGATTAGCCGTGCCTATAACCCTAACCCTGGGTTATGTAATCGATGCTTTGTCAGAATGTTGGATTCTTGATACCTGGTCCTTGTTACTTGTAATCTGTTTCGTAACCTGCATGCTGGATGGGTTATAACATGATGCTTTCATTCAAAGGGACTACTGAACCTATCTCCCTCCTCCTCTTTTTCGCTGCTGGACCTGTTGTTCCCCTTTCCCTTATGTACACAATTGGCCTGAACTGGATGGGATGACAATGGCCTGATGGCCACGCGGCATCGTACGAGAGCGCTGCTTCGGAGCGAAGCCCTCGCAGCAGCCCTGGACCGCCACCAGGGGTCGCAAGGGCCACCTATTTCCTTTGTGCGCATACAAGCCCTGACACTATTCAACTTTCTCGAAAAGTTGCTTATAATTCTTAAACATTCTTAGTTATTTCTCTAATTAAGTTGTTCTCTGAATGCATATTCTAATGCATTAGTTTTAACTTCAAATAGCTTATAGGAATCTGTGAAAAATGGGGCATATTTAACCCTAACCCTCTGTTTTAGTCTCCTTATAAACCATCTCAGAGCCTGGTTTAGTTACTTAGAAGATCTTCTTTTTGTATTAGATAGATTCAATCTCAACACTCATTCAGCTACTTCCACGTGCTCAGCTTATACGTTTCTCCTTAGTTATAAGCCCGGTTCGCAAGAATCGGGTTTAATCTTCCCCTTATCTATCGAAACAGACTGAGCTGTTCACTTCTTATTCTTTCAGAACACATCTTTTGTTCCAAACAGTCATACTCACGCTCCATCAAGCCTACGATGGAGCGCGAACCTGACAACCTCACACTCTTAGTAAAGTGCACCGATATCTACTCCTTTCCATCCTGGTACAGCATTTTGCAGTTCCAGAGCAAGGGAAAGGGTGTTTAGAAGTATCTAGATCCAGATAGCTCAGATGCGCTCTCTCTCGAATCTGAAGACTTCAACCTCGAGTTCTCCAAGTTCACTCAGAATCTTGAGAAGGAGTGCAAAAACATTATAACGGAGAACTACAAGCTACTTTCTATCCAGGAACAAGCTATTCTCTATAATCAGGAGATGAAATACTTTCAGCTTCGTTAAAACAAGCAGTTGCATGCTCATTAGAATGTATAGAGGATGTAAAACTGGATTCAGAAAACAGTATCTCTATCAGTTCTCGTTTCTTATATGCATACCTATTCAGGAAAGAAGTTTCTCTCGATTCAACAGGTGCTCAGAAACTTGAAGAAAGATCTCTATTCGTTCGAGGAGAGCATGAAACAGGTTGTTCGCTTCCAGTACTGCTATCATCTTGAGCTAGCTATCAGGCAAGGCACTGATTTCCAAAACTGGTGCTGGCAGCACCAGGATCTCCTGAATCTAGCTCAGGTTTACGGCATTGATGAAGTTGAGAGACTTTAGGGCTCTAATAACTTCCTCGCTGCTATTAGAGTTTGCTTTCAGATAGAGTAAGCCAAAACGCAATAATATCTCCTCGCTACAGCATCTGATAATAGTCTGCTTATCAAGACTATTGAATAGCTTTAATAAAATCTCGCTTCAATCTACTGACTTCAGCCTGAGCAGAAAAAAGGCTCAATAGTGTTCGCTACTATAAACGGAGAGAATCTACAATTCAGCAACTCAGGCACAAAATCTGGAAAGAAACAAGATGGATCTTTCAGCCAGAGCGAAAAAGGAGATTACAAGTATCCCTGCGAATCGTATCAAAGGAAGCATAAATGAAGCTCTATGAACTGCGGAAGGCTAGAGTACGCCTGTACCGGAATCAGACCAGATTCAATCTTCAAAGCTCCATCTAACAAGCAAAGAAAGAAGATCCTCTCTAAGCTAGCTAGCAAAAACTATCAGAAGCTCTATTCAGATCTTATCAGAACTAAATAGCTTTCTCAAGACTGGATAGAAAGGATTCTACAGAGAACAGAGAACAACAGAAATCTCTATCCAGATACTATCGAATGCTAGAATCTCTCAATCACAACATCAAAATGCTAGATCCAACACTCCTCAAGCCTGAAACAAAGCATCCTTAGTTCCTTCAAATAAATGCTATCTTTAACTCTCAACTCTTCAATCAGGCAGTATTGCTATAAGCAAGCACAGCAATCTTCTCAATACCATTTCAGATATCTCATATTCTTTTCCAAAGCATAGTTCTGGATAACTGCGGAGCTATATACCTTATCAACAGCATCAATCTTCTAGAGCTAAATACCTTTTCTCTCTCAAGGAATGCAAAAGTTGTAAAAGCAGGAAGCTTATTATTGCTAATACAGGAATTCGGAAGATAATTGTTATGACCCATCCAACATGCAGGTTACAGAACAGGTCACGAGTAACAGGAACCAGGTGTCAAGGACTCAACATCCTGACAAAGCATTGATTACATAACCCAGGGTTAGGGTTATGAGCACGGCCAATCAGGAAGGATAGCTTCGGATATGTGCTATCCAGAGCTAGCAGGATAACTTGGATATGTTGCTATCCAACATATTCATATTGAAGAGCTGGATATATAAGAACACGTTCATTACTATTAGATGGATTCAGTACATAGCTCTTCAGTTATTAATCTAAGTATCAGATTACTCTCTACTCTGATAGCTTCAAAGGCAGT